GATGTGCAAGATAGGGGCGTGCTCAGAAGATTTTCATAATCTAAAAAGGGAAAGCCCTGGTAGGTATGGCTCCGTGGATTGAGCGCAGGCCTGAAAGGTCTCTGGTTCGGTTCCCCGTCAGGGCACATGCCTGGGTTGGGGGCCAGGTCCCCATTTGGGGGCTTTGCTACAGGCAACAGATCGATGTGTCTCTCGCATGTTCTGTTTCTCTCCGTCTCTTTCTCCCTCCCCTCCCCTCTCTTGAAAAGTAAATAAATAAAATCTTTAAAAAGGGAAAAATATTTGTAAATGGGATTTGAATTTCATCTGTGTCATTCATAGTTTTCGTGATTTTGAGCAAGTTACTTAACCTGTCTTGGTTTTTTCATCTGTAAAATGGCAAGAAAAATTGCCTGTTTCGTAGGTCAAAAAGGGAATTAAGTTAGTCAAGACAGGTAAAGCTTTTAGGTTAATACATGGCAAATAGGAAGTACTCAAAAATTAGTAACTATTATTAGGGACTTGGAAGGGACTTTCAGGATTATTGGTGAAAAGAGCAGTGTGGGTAGTCGAGTTAAGTATCGGTCTTGGGGTGCGGCACCAGTGGGTCTCACCGTGAGCAGCCTTCATCAAGTCACTGGATCTCTGTTAGTTGATTTGCAGTTAAATAGTCATGGGCTGAATGAGCTCCCTAATTCCTTTCAGCTTTCATTGTTTGAGTCCATTTGTGTGTGTGTGTGTGTGTGTGTGTGTGTGTGTGTGTGCATGTTTTTTTTAAAACTCTTTTCTACTCCTTCTCTTTCCTGCAATTTTGACCATTTTCTAAAAGATTCATGACTAGAGTTCAGGAAAGAAGTAGCATCACTCTAAGATAATCGCTCTAGAAATTGGGTGGGAAGGAGGAAGTTTGGACCACTAGTTTGGCTTTTGAAAGTCTCCCATCTTCTGATCTATCCAGCATATTGTATGAAATTCAGTGGCTTCTTCTGCATTCTTTAGACCAGAATGGTTTCTTCTTTCTCTACCTTGGTTTGGCACACTGTAAGGTTCTGCTTACTCGTTCAAGAAAACTTGGGGTACCTACTGTTTACCAGTCATTGGGAATACAAAACCAAATGAGAAATGGTCCTGGATACATGTTTGGATGAATGAATGCACACCTGGCTCATTGTTGTCTTCTCCATGAATGATGCCCTCTTGATTGCTCCTCATTGGGACCCAATTAGTGTTAGAGCTGTACGCTACAAAGTTTAGGTGTGGAGTGTGAATTCTTTTTGAGGCCGTGGAGAATAATGGTAGAGAATAATGGCAGGCTCTGTAGTCATTCTGTCTCTGCTCATATCCCAGTGTTTTTACTTACCAACTTTTCTCAATTCATGTATGTAGGTTAAAGATGGATTAAAATCCCTTTTAATGCTCAGGGTTCTATCCAGTTAGTACCGTTAAGTAACAATAACAAATCTAAATCCAAACAATCTTAAAAACAACAAAAATCTTGGCCAGATCAGTTAAATGTGCACCTGAAATGATGTTTCAAAGGAGCTGTGAAGTATCATCAACTTAACATTGTTCTATGAACTTCTCTTTGCTTGAGAAGAGGGGGGACAGGATGTAGTTTTCTCCCATTTGCATGCACATTACAAAAAACTGAAACAATCACATTATGGAAGCACAGTACAAATAACATTTTTAATAAATCATTTGAGAGTTCAGTTGTTGACCTAATGCCTTATCACCCCTGAATACTTTAGTTTTCCTACAAACTAGGACATTCGTCTGTATAACCACAGTGTAACTACTAAAATCAGAAATTTAACATTGCTTTACTCAGGCCCGGCTTCTCCGGGCCTGAGTAAGGCAGTGGTCACTGATTGGTCACTGCTTGGTCACTGATTCCCTGTTCCAGACTGCCGGATGTATGGATGACCTCATCACCCCATTCCTCCCCACACTGGGTTGCTCTTTGCAGATTTCTTCCTCACTCAGCGTAGGCTTTGGCTTTTCTCTCTGCCACCATTTCCCTGCTATGCCTCCTATTCATTCTTTCCTTGCTCTGCCCCTTGCTTTGGGAAGGGAATGCCCAGTAATTGGGTCCTTATTGCTTTCCTACATAGTGTAGTTTAAAACATTAACGTAAAATGAAGTGCTTAAAGAAGATTTTCTGTTCCTGGAACTATCCCAAGGCAACACCAAATGGTGTATCTTAATCCTCGTCAATTTACTTGCTTTTTTAAGTCTATAGATATGATCGGATCTGACTGGACAATATTTCAGTGTTTTATAAACCTTTTTTTTTTAAGATTTTTAAAATTTATTTTTAGAGAGAGGGGAAGCCAGGGGAAAAGGGAGAGAAACATCAGTCAGTTGCCTCGCACACATGCCCCAGCCAGGAACCAAACCCACATCCCAGACGTGTGCCCTGACCAGGAATTGAACCAGCGATCTTTCACTTCATGGAATGTTTCCCAACCAACTGAGCCACACTGGTCAGGACTATTATAAACCTTTTTTAAAGCAGAATAACTTTATTTCCCCCAAATAAAATCTTACGCAGGAGCTTAATAGGTAAGCTGGATCAAAGCAGAATACACTGTTAAAAATAATTCCTCCTCCTGGAACCTGTACTTGCTACCATAGCCCACCCAGTGCTGGGAGGGCAAGTGTTAATCAGCAATAATCGACCTCTGCCTAATTTTTTTTATTTTCCCCCTTTAAATTCTATTTATTTACTTACTTATTGATTGATTGATTTGAGAGAAAAACATCGATTCATGTTGTTCCACTTATTTATGCATTCATTGGTTGATACTTGTATGTGCCCTGAGTAGGGATTGAACCCACAACCTTGGTGTATCAAGATGATACTCTTATCAACTGAGCTAACCGGCTTTCCAAATGCTTTGAGTGGGACCTCCCCCAATTCTGGTTTCTGTGAGATTCTGCTCCTTGCACCTTTGATGTAGAGGCTCTCTTCTGGTTGGTAGGCCTAGAGCCCTACTTCTTTGGCTTTCTTGAGCCCCTTGGCCCCTAGATATTTCAGAATTGACTTTTAAAAAATAAACTTGAATTCCCTAAGGAGCTTCTGAATAACCATCATAGAATCCTAATACTACAGAACACAGTATGACAAAATTTTTTTAATCTCATTAAAAAAATGGCAACCCTCTCTCTACTTTCCTGAATTGTAAACATATATTGTTACATTTCAGGGCATCCCTCAAAAATGCTGCTGGTTTCCTTCTTAAAGAATTGCATAGGATTTCTCAGGCTACTCTTCTACAGAAGGAGCAAACAAGAGAGCTTTAATCTTAACTGCTCGTATTCTTATCCCAGCAGAAATAAGCCAGAAACAGCTTCTGGCTGTTTCCACTGTCATTGTTCTTTCCACAACCTTTCTGTCGGAGGAACAGGTGAGACTAAGACGTGCATTTGAGCTCATTTAGATATCCCACCTGCTGCTGTCTTTATGCATCTTGTACCTCACTAATGCTCTGAGAGTTGGAGGGATGATGGTTTTTTAAAAAAAATACTATATTTTTATTTTGAAAAATTAAAAAAGGTTTTATTTATTTCTAGAGAGAGGGGAAGGGAGGGAGAAAGAGAGAGAGAGAGAAACATCATTGGGTGGTTGCCTCTCACATGGCCCCCACTGGGGACCTGGCCTGCAACTCAGGCATGCGCCCTGACTGGGAATCAAACCGGAGACTCTTTGGTTTGCAGCCTGCACTCAGTCCACTGAGCTACAGCAGCCAGGACAGAAGGTTTTTGGATAGAATTCTTGACCTCAGATTGGTGACTTCTATTCTAGGATGTGATGTGAGAGATGCTGGGCAGAGGGAAGGGAAGGAGGAGAGTCGAGACCGTGTAAGTGGGAAATGGAAGGAAGGATTCAACCAAGCCATGGTACCTGGATTTAACCTGCTTATCAGCTGTTTCTTAAGAACTGACAAATCTGCTTGCCTTCTATCTGTGCACTATTAGCAGAGTAATAATACACCCCTCTGGCTGACCTAACCCAGAAAGAGCAAGTTTATGATCAGGCTACAAGGTTGTCTTATGGAACTCAAGGACAGGGATGTTCCTGGGCGTTGGGTAATACTGGAACCAGGATTTGGAAGGTTGACAGGATTTCCTTTCATTTCTGTTTCCAAGGCAGTTTAGTTAATGGATGGTGATTATAAATCAGGAATTGTTAAAAAAAAATAGGGCCTTAAGTCATGAACTGAAAGTAAGGGGTGGCAGTTAGGGTTGAGGAGAGAAGAAAGTTTTCCTTATGAAAACTTAAGGAAAAATAGTCTCAAGTCTTAATGGTGCCAAGTGTAATTGGGAGGAAAAAAGAGAACTAAGGACAGTATTGTTAGATTTATCTTTATGTGGCAGTGATCTATCCAGCAGAGTAAAGGGACATGGCTGAGAGCCACTACCTTGCTAATTTCCCCTCTGTTTAAAACCAGGAGGCTGGTCAAGAGCACCTCTAAGGAAGGCCCATTCAACTCCAAAGCAGTAAGACTTGTTCCCAAGGCAGACTGTCACTTAGGAGGAGCTTGTTAGAAATGTACAGTCTCAGGTACCACCTCAGAATTGTAATCTGTATTTTAACCTGATCCATAAACTGTTATATGAATTTGGTATCTCTAACAACGGGTTATTATGTAGGCATTAAAAAATATGTGTGTGTATATTTGTATGTATGTAAGAATTGCTAAAATATGTTAAGAAAATGGCTGTTAATTAATGATTGATTTCATGATTCTATTAAAAAACACTATATACAAAAAAGTGTAAAAGGATATAAACAAAATTGAATTATAAATTTTTTCTTCATTATTAATATACTGTCTGACCTTATAAAATGAGCATGTGTGTTTTTAATTTTATCAGGAAAAAAAGTAAGCTATTCTTTTTCTTTTGAAGTCACTTCAGATTTAAACCTAGCATAGTGGTTAAAAGTGTGGTCTCTGGTGTCAGCCAGAGTTTGACTCTACCATTTTCTGGCTTTTTGACATAGGCATAGTAATTTGACCTCTGGAAGCCTTGATTTTCTCATCTACATAACATGATAATAATAGAACCTCTGTCTTGCTGCTTTTGAGAATTAAATGAGTGCCTGGACATAGTAAGTGCTTGATAAATGTTAGCTTTTATTACTACTGTTTTCCTTTTTTTTTTTAATTTTAATTTTTTTAGAGGGGAAGGGAAGGAGAAAGAGAGGGAGAGAAACATCAGTGTGTGGTTGCCTCTCACATGGCCCTCACTGGGGACCAGGCCCACAACCCAGGCATATGTCCTGACTGGGAATTGAACCAACCACCCTTTGGTTCGCCACTGAGCTACACCAGCCAGGGCTGTTTTCCTTTTTTAAAGATCCATTTATACGGCCCTCCCCCACAAACCTTCCCATGGCAAAAGAATACCAACAATAGGAATTAAAACACAAGAAGACAACAGTAAATTGATGCCCCTGGGTAAGTATCAAATTGAAAAGAAATAAGATCAAGGTTTCCATAGCTCCCCACAAATGGAATAGACAAAAGAGATTTAGATGAAAGCACATGGTGTTAAACCTATATTAATTATTCTGTAGACTAGATTGTCTACAGTTTTCTTCCTCAGTGCAGATGTCTCTCAGATTGTTGTCTGGCTTCTTTCTTTGTGACAGAACACTTGAATTAGCTTTAGCAGAAGAGATATGGAGGAGCCATAGAACATTAAGGATGAATTCAGGAAGACCCGAGACCATGGAGAACTTGCCTGCTCTCTACACTATCTTCCAAGGAGAGGTATATTCTTTTGTCTTTGAAAACTTACCTTTTTTCGTTAAGCATAGATTGAGGGTGAAAAGGCGCTGGGTTCGGAGCTCCTGTCCATTTGAGAATATCGTGAGCATTACAGTTTAAATGGGCAGGGCTAGTGGAGCATCCGGCTATCACCTGTGCCCCTTTTAAGCTCCAGGCTTCTAGGTGCAGACTTGACATCTTCATTCGGATACCTCACAGCATCTCTGATTTATGTTTTGAACTATTCAGGTGCCCACACTAGAAATCTGGACATCATTCTTCATTTTTTTCTCTTGATTTGATGTTGATTTTCCCTCCCTCTGTAGCCCATTAACAAGTCCTGTCATTTCTACCTCCTGGATGTATATCTGGCCTATGTATTTCTTTGTCGTGGCACACCGTTCAGGTTCTCCATCTTTCCCCGACCACTGCCGGGAACTCTGCTTTTATCATAGGCCTTCTTCAATCTGTTCTTTACATCATAGCCAGAATAACACTTTAAAACCAGATTTGGACAGTGCTACTATCTCATAGCTTTTCTAGGCTTCTGATTTCCCTCGATTACATCTAGACTTGTTTTTACGACCCTGAATAACTTAGCCTCTACCTAATCTGACAGTGTTGCTCTGTCCTGCCGTACTTGTTGCTGGCTGCTCTGTCCTCCTTACAGCTCTGAACATTCTAGGCCTGCGTCCTTCTCAGGACTTGCACGTACTGTTGCTTCCAACCCTACTTCCCATTAGCTTCTCTCTTAGGTCTTAGATGTAATGGCATCTCAAGAGATTTTTTTTTACCCAAGTAAATAGATTTATTCTGTGTTTATTTGTGTACTTGTTTAACATGTCTTTTTTCCTCACACGACACTAAGCTAACTCCATGAAGGCAGAGCCCTGTCTGTTTTGTGTAGTGTTGTCTGTCTTAACCCCAGGTAGGTGGGTGGAAACTGATAGGTTCTTGATATTTCTTGATGACTGAATAAATGGTCAGACTTTGAGGGACAAGGCATTGTATTTGTTTTTAGAGTAAAGTTTTTTTTAAGATTTTATTTATTTATCTTTAGAGGGGAAGGGAAGGAGAAAGGGAGAGAAATATCAATGTATGGTTGCCTCTCGTTTGTCCCCTGCCGGGAACTGTCCTGCAACCCCAGACATGTGCCCTGACTGGGAATCGAACCGTGATTCTCTGGTTCGCAGGCCCACACTCAATCCACTGAACTACATCAGCCAGGGCTAAGAGTAGAGGTTTTTGAATAAGACAAAATCTAGACTCCAGTCCTAGCTTCTTATTTACTGTGTGATCCTTTACACTGTCACTTGATCATTTGAGCCTTAGCTTTCTTTTTTCTTTTCAGATTTTATGTATTTATTTTTAGAGAGAAGGGGAGGGAGAGAGAGACAGAAACATCTATGTGTGGTTGCCTCTCACTCAACCCCTACTGGGGACCCAAGCCCTCAACCCAGCATGTCCCCTGACTGGGAATTGAACCAGCAACCTTTGGTTCATAGTCCCATGCTGAATCCACTGAGCTATACCAGCCAGAGCTGGTTTTATTTATTTATTTATAAAGAGGGAAAGGGAAGGGGAAAGAGAGGGAGAGAAACATGGATGTGTGGTTGGTTTTTGTGTGCCCCCAACTGGGGACCTGGCCCACAACCCAGGCATGTGCACTAGACTGGGAATTGAACTGGCGACCATTTGGTTCGCAGGTCAGCACTCAGTCCACTGAGCCACACCAGCCTGGGCATCATCTTTCTTATTTATTAAATTTAGAGAACCACTTCCAAAGGATTGCCATGAAGCTTAAATAAGCTGTCATCTATAAAAACATAATGCCTGAGACAAGGTAGGAATTCATTAACGTTATCTCTCTCTCTTTCTCTTCTCTTGAAGCAAACTTAAAGCCAAAAAATCGTTTTCAGTGTCTTATGAGTAACTGTAGTATTTTAAATATATTATTTTATGGCATTTTTTTCTTGCTTTGTGGTTGATAAATTTTCACCTCCTAATAGAGTGAGGCTTTTGAAGACCCACTTTGTGACTGCCAGTTGGTTATGATAATTGTGGCTCTTGACTTTTGTTACGTTGGTCCCGATTTGTAGTACAACAGTCATGATACAAAGAGTGGTAAATTCTAACAAATAGCAAACAACTCTGCTCTTAGAGCCTTTGTCCTTTAAGGCCCATAGTGTCCCTAAAGGTCAAGGTACCAGGGCTCAGGAAAGGAAGTGGTAGTATTGGAGATGAAATAGGTTTTTCTGATCACAAAGGCCTGACTTGTCGGGTATTGCACAAGAGAGAGTTCTCTGCCCTCCACAGACTGACTGGGATTTATGGTGAAGTGGCTTCTGACCTATAGCTTTTCCTTATATGAGATGGGGCTTGTATTAGTGTGGGCTTTATATTTTACTGTCAGGATGGATGGGGTAGACTAATGTTCAGAGAGAACTTCATGGTTCCAGCTTAGTATTTCAGGAGCACATTTTGAAACATGATGGTTTAGAAGTTACCGGAATTAGGGACAGAGAAATTTCATGATAAATTGGAAATAAACTTTTCAAAATATTCATCCAACAACAATTTAGTGAGTATCTAATATTCACAAAGACGACCTGGTTACATTAAAATTCAAAAAAATTTTTTGTAAGCCTAATGTAAATCAGAACTTTGACACATTCTGTCATTCTCTCTCCTAAGAAATTGTTAGCCCCTTTTAATGGATAAGGAAACTCTTCTCAGAAGTTAAGTAATGTCCAAATGGTTAGTAAGTGGCAAAGCTGGGTTTCTGAAGTTCTCTAAGTCTGCTTTCTGATACACTGTAGTTGGGGTTGTTTAACTGTTTTCTGATACACTGTAGTTGGGGTTGTTTAACTGTTTTCTGATACACTGTAGTTGGGGTTGTTTAACTGTTTTCTGATACACTGTAGTTGGGGTTGTTTAACTGTTTTCTGATATACTGTAGTTGGGGTTGTTTAACTGTACATAAATGCATGGAGAACTGAAAGACCCATAAGAGAACTCTCGACTGAATTGAAGTATAGAAGGAAGTTAGATGGTAAATCTGGTTGTTCCACAGTCATTTGTTTATACCTCTGTTATGGCATTAATTACAGTCTGTCTTGTATTGTTACTTGTACATGTGTATATCTCCTCCACCAGCCTGTGAGTTACTGGAGAGCAGAGGCCATGGTTGTCTCATGTATCTTGGCAACTAATTCAAATTCATGTTAAAATAGTCTGGGCATCTCTTTTTTTTTTTTAAGTTGTTTTCATTTCAAAGTACTTTGCATAGTATCTTGCATATAGGTGCAGTAAATGTTTGATTTAAATTGATCCTAAGTCTCTTAGGTCCCATTGTCACTGAAGACACTGGTGGTGTCACCCTGATGTTAGCAGTTCTTGTCTTTAGCGGGCCCAGGAGGGCAGAGGGGCCCAGTGACTGAACAGCTGAGAAGCCATTATTCATCCTTCTTCTGTCCATTAGGCATGGTAGGGGACACAAGTGTAGCCGTGGGAATTGGGATTTGGCTTAGTTTAGCCATAGCCAAAGAAATGCTGAGAGGAAATTGGTGTTGGAAAGTGAGAATGCATTGAACTGGAAGTCAAAATACTTCTGTTCCCTGCCTAGCCATGCTACTTTCTAACTTTGTGACTTTGCACAAGTAACTTATGCTTCTGAGCTGCATATTTCTCATTTACATTATGGAGATAACTAGTTTCAAGGCCAATGCAACCTCTAATCTGAAGATGGTAAACTCATTTTACCCAAGCCCTGAGTCTAGTTGCGATAATTACTGAATTTTTTCCCCTGAGCTATTTAGCTAATTATTCTGGGGACACCAGGGCAGACTGTGTAATCATCTATGGCAGGTGCCATTCTGTTAATTTCAACTCTGTCTGCACCTTAAGAGACACAGCGATGGAAACACCTGGTGCTGGGTGTAGGCAAGAATGGTTCACTTTTCCAAAGTGAACCATTGAGCGCATTCGTTCTGGAGCCCATTAACCTTTCCTTTTGGGAGAAGCCAAATGAAGGTCTGTCATAATATTTCCTGAAAAGATCATAATGTGACACTGGAGCTTTAGGATTCAAAAATGAGATTGTCGTAGTTTACAACAGCAAGGTGATCTGGGGTCCTACTTCCAGATGCTATTTTTAAGTTTGTTAGATACTTATAACCTTTGATAATGTTGTTACACAATATGAAACATCTTACTCCTCTTTTTAGAACTCTGGAGCAAAAGCTAAAGCACCTTTGGTTGGTTCAGAAAGAAGGGATTTGCTTTTATTGTAATTAAAAATTAAAATCAGCCCTGACTGTTATGGCTCAGATGGTTGGGTGTCATCCCACAAAAGCAAAAGGTTGCCTGTTTGATTCCTGTCAGGGCATGTGCCTGGGTCATGCATGGGTTTGGTCCTGGATGGGGCACGTGTGAGAGGCAACTGATCATTATTTCTCTCTCAGTTTATGTTTCTGTCCCTTTCTTCCTCCCTTCCATCCCCTCTTTCCAAAAGTAAATAAATATTTTTAATTAAAATCACCTTTTTTAATCTCTATGGTTCTATCTTACAGAGAACAAATGCTTTGTGAACTTGGGTAAGCACTTCATGTCTCTGATCTTCACTTTTCTCATTTGAAAAATGACAGGATTGGACCAACTGATCTCTAAGGTCCTTCCTACAGTTCTACCTTGCTTTGATTTTAAATGCCAATATCTTGCCCTGGCCAGGTGGCTCATTTGGTTAAAACGTTGTCCTGACACACCAAGGTTGTGGGTTCAGTCCTCAGTCAGGGCACATACAAGAAGCAACCAATGAAAGCATAAATAAGTGGAACAGCAAATCAATGTTACTCTCTCTCTCTTTTTCTTTCCCCCTTCCTTTCTAAAGTCAATATAAATAAATAAATAAACAAGTTATTAAGCAAGTAAATGTATATTAGCGTCTGCCTGATTGTACTGTTTTTTTTGGGGGGGGGAGGTGGATGGGGTAGCTCTCTGGTCCCTACCACAGCATAGCATGTTCATCAGTGTAAAACAGAGGTTTCAAGTTTTGGGTTCTTATCCCATTGTAAGTGTTCTATTTTGGAGATTTGCTTCAAGTGCTCTGTCCTAATATCCCCATTAACAAATGAGGAAAATGGAAATTTTGAATCTATTTTTATCCTAATTTTGAAGTGAGTAGTGATGCTATTTGGTGACGTAGGAGGCACCAGACTAGGACTCAAGGGACCTAGGATCTGTGCCTACCTTGTATCTAAGTTAGCTGTGTGCCTTTCCACCTTTCTGTGCTTCATTGTCTTGGACTATAAATTATTAAAAAGCTAAAATTTGTTGAATGTACATTGGGTGCCAGGTACCAGGGCCAGTGCTTCATGTACATCATTTGTTATCTGCAGTAGCAAAATGAGTACAGTGGGAACCTAGGCCCTGAAGGGTGACTTGTGTTCAACATCCCACAGGTGAGAAGTGGGAAAGGTGGGATCAGAAGCCACATCTTTCACTCTGAGGCCTGTGCTCTTTCTACACCTCCACTGTTTCACCTCATCTGCAACATGGGAACCTCCCATCTACGTCTCCTAAGATTGTTGCCAGGAGCAGAGACGATAGCCACTGTCACCTTGCTTTTGGCTGCTGCAGTTTTATAGTTAACCAATGAGCAGCTGTAGTGAGCTAAGACTCCCTGGGTTCAGACCCCAGCACTGTTACTATTAGCTTTGAACGTTGGTCAGGTTACTTACTCTTTCCGTGCATCAGTTTTGTCATCTGTCAGATGAATATAATGAATAGTACCAGCATCGTATGGTGTCATGAAGCTTATGGAAAGCACTTAGAATAGTGTTTTGCATATAGTGAGTATTCAGTATATACAGTGGGGGACCCCCACCAAAAAAACCCAGAATTATTGTCTGGAGGGCGGGCCCCTTATAGTACAGGCTTCCCTGTAGGTGAGTGTTCTAGGAACTCAATGGCATCAGTGTGCCAGCTGGTGTTGTGAGGGGCTGTGTTCGGCTTTCAGTAAAAAATTTTTTAAGACTTTCATTGTGTTTGCCCATTTCATTATGGGTGACTTAACCAGCACACCTGCCTACACTGTGCTGAATGTTCAGCAGTTTTTGACCAAAAACGGCGTGACCCCTGGGCCCCACTTTCCCTATTCGCCTGTTCTAGCCCTGACCACCTGCCCTCTCTCACACCCACATGAAATAAGTCCTCAAAAGGAAATGTTTTGCTGATGTGGAAGAGGTGAAAGGAAAATGGCAGAAGCACTAAAAAGCATCAAAGTTGATGAGTTCAAAAGCCGTTTTGATGTCCTGGCTGCTGGTGTGGCTCAGTGGATTGAATGCCAGCCTGCGAACCGAAGGGTAGTTGGTCCGATTCCCAGTCAGGGCACATGCCTGGGTTGTGGGCCAGGTCCCCAGGTCAGTGCACAAGAGGCAACCATGCACTGATGTTTCTCTCTCTCTCTTTCTTTCTCCCTTCCGCTCTCTAAAAATAAATAAAATCTTTTTTTTAAAAAGCTGTTTTGAGTAATGGAAAACATGTCTTGGTAGGTGTATTGCATCATTTGGAAAGTACTTTGAAGTTGACTGAAGTTTAAACATGTAAGAATAAATACACAACTTTTTATAAATAAATTACCTTTTTTGGGTTCCTTCTTGTATTAGTGCATAGCAGTCCTGCAGGGATTGTCTTACTCTGTCCCCTTGTATTTGTGGTGAACAGTGAACAACTCGTTAAAGTCACTGAAAATAGTAAAATGTATGTGTATAAGATGGTATTGAGTGTTTTTCAAAAATAATAATGTATTTAGGATCAATACAGTATGTTGTGACAACTTGAATCCCAATCCACTGGTGAAGGCAGTAGTCTAGAGGAAAGAGGAGAAGAGAGAGAGAGAGTCTGGAGTAATCATTTATTTGGCAAGGGATCTGGGTCTTTCATATGTTATATTACATATTATGCGGTACATATAGAGTGTTCAGACCTCTGTCCCTTCATCTTAGATCAACTCTGCACAAGATTTGAGGGCAACTCTTTCTCTCTCTGATTATATCTTCCCAGTTTCTATGAGATGTCTGTGTATTGGCTTTTTTTCTGTCTTGATAAAACTCAGGCTTTAGTTTAAAGTGAACCAGAGCAGGCTTTGACTTGAAATTTAGGGGAAAGGGATGTCCTGATGCCCTACATGATCTATCCCAAATTGTTAAAGTTCTCTGTGTTGGGATTGGAGGCCTCAATCCCAGCTAGGGTCAAGTGTTAGCTTTGTTACCTGATTTTCTGCTGTTTGTTCCTTTTGTTCATATACTTCTTTGAAGATTTCAGTAGGTGTTGGATTTGGGCATTCCTAGGTACTATCATACCATCTGACAATAGTCCACTCTCACTCATTAATGTTTTTAATCGGTTCACACATGCCTGTTGGTCTCAATTTTAAAAAGAATTGAAAGACTTTGACAAAACGTCACTGTTAGGCAGTTTGGCAGCAGAGAGAAGCAGTCAAATAGCAAGTAGAAATTCCGGGAGGTTAGGTTAAATGCTACGAAAGAGAGTCTCGTGTGTATGACATTCATTCTTTTATATTTTTTTCTTTTTTGTCTCTACAGGTTGCTATGGTGACTGATTATGGAGCCTTTATCAAAATCCCAGGCTGTCGGAAGCAAGGTGGGTACCTATAATGTGCAGTTCAGCCTTCCCATTCCACCACCACGTCCTAATTGATCTCTTTGTTTTTAGGCAGTAGTTTTGTTTTTGTTTAGAGATATGAATACAGACAAGTGATGACAGGTAATTTTTAGTAGGTCTTAAATCAGAAGAATGGTGTTCTCTGACATGGAGGGAGGTTTGGGGTATAGCTGCTTGGGCTTACTTCTGGAACCAGCTATTCCCCAAGTTTCACGTGTGACCCTAGGCAAGTCACTCGACCTCTTTGGTCTTAGGATTTGGGGGGAAGGAAGCAACTTACTCTCCAAGGCTAACATTGTGAGTTTTTTTAGTTATGGCACATGGAAAGGAAATACTAGTATTATAACTAACACAAATACATGTGTAATATGTAATGCTTTAAATTTTCTTCATATGTTGGTGGGCATTTGTTAAGCATTTTTGAAGAATCTCTTTCATGGCTATAATCTTGTTTGTTTCTCAAAACAATTGTGGTGAGTAGAAAAGGCAAGTTTTATAGGCTGGCAGCCTGCTCAGAGGGACTTCGGTAGGGAATGGCACGCCCAGGGCTAGAACCCAGGCATCCTGATTTTTAGCATCACACTCCAAGTGGATCCAAAGACTCAACTTCATAATTTCTTGTGCTAAAAGAATTTAAAGATTTTAATGGGAAAATGAAACCATAGGGATGTTATTAGAAGAAAATAAAGTAGTGTTTGATTGCATAAAAGTCAAAAACCTTATTGCAAAAATTATCAGAAGCGAAGTTGAAACATGAATTTAGTACTATGACAAAGAACTTGCAAAAAAGGGGTGAAGTAGGAAAAGACCAAGGATATGAAAGGATTTCGCAGGGGGAAAAATAGCAGTTGATCAGTAAATATCTTGAAAAGTGCTCATTCTCCGTAAAAAATAAAACAAAGGTACATCCGTACAAAGTTACTCAGAAATGGAAAGGAGTAAAAATGAAGGACTGGCATGCACAACAGGCTGCATCAACCTCCAGAGAATAAACGGTAAGTGAAAAAAAATCCCAAAGATCGTTCACTTCACTGTCCCGTTTATATAATGTTCTTTTAAAAAGCAGTTTCATGAAGTATAACACATACCATATATTTTACCCACAGTGTATAATTCACTGGTTTTTAGTGTGTTCACAGAGCTTTGCAACCATCTTTACAGTCTAATTTGAGAACATTTTGGTCATCCCCCCAAAACATATTCTGTACCTATTAATAGTCACCCCGCATTTTCTATTACCATCCCTCTTTCCTCACCAGCTTTAGGCAACCAGCAGTCTGCTTTCTTTTTTTTTTTTTCCTTTTCTTGTTAAAGGTATTTTTTTAAATTTATTTTTAGACAGAGGGAAAGGGAGAGAGAGAGGGGGAGAGAAACATCAATATGTGGTTGCCTCTCGCACACCCTACACTGGGGAACCTGGCCCACAACCCAGACATGTGCCCTGACTGGGAATCGAACCGCGATACTCTGGTTTACAGGCCCGTGCTCAATCTTTAATGTTCTTTTTTAAAAATTATTTTAATTGTTGTTCAAGTTCTAACCTTCTAATCAAATGATTGGTTCCTCTCAAGCTTACCAGCCTCCATCTTGAAGTTCTGCAGGGGCTCACCAATAGTCACTGCGTTGCATAAACTTGGATAAGGTTGAGAGGGCCTATCATATAACAAGACATTTTGATCACTTAGGATATTCCAAGAGTTTAGGAGTCCTGTACCAGGAACGAAGACCAAATACGTATGTCTTTTCTTTAAAAAAAAAAAAAAAAAAAAAGATTATTTTTAGAAAGAGAGGAAGAGAAATATCGATGTGAGAGAGAAATGTGTGAGAGAAACATCGATTGGTTGCCACTTGCACTTCCCGTACTGGGGGCCTGGCCCACAACCCAGGCACGTGTCCCGACTGGGAATTGAACTAGCAACCTTTGGGTTTGCGGGCTGGTGCTCAATCCACTGAGCCACACCAACCAGGGCCCAAATATTTATTTCTTATTATATCACATATTAATACAGATGTTCTGGTTGTGATAATGTTCTCTGGTTTTACAAAATGTTATCTTTGGAGAAAACTGGATAAAGGGAACACAGGGTCTCTAATATTTCTTTCAACTACAAGTGAATCTGAAATTATCATAAAATATTTTTTAAAGTGATTTAAAACACTCTTAAGGTCTTTGAGATTAGTGAATATTTTAAAGGTTGCAGTTAATACCCAGTAGTGGAAATGGGTATTTCCAGCAATAGTGTTGCTTATTATTGGGAGCATAAATTATTACATGTTTTGGCATAGTCTGTTTGTATTTTTAATATACTTACCCTTTAATTTAGCAATTATTCAGAGAATTTAGTTTGTAATATAGCATTAAATAAATCACATACATCTACGGAGTGGACAGTGCAAATGATCGGTAACTGTATTCTAAGATCTTTGGATGCCGATGCCGTCCTCATTTTACCAGAAAAGATCAATGAAAGTTTTCCTACAATCCTACCACACTGATACCTGGCTGATGGCAGTTGTAAAACACTATGGGTTATAAGAAGCATTCTAATTTCAGAGATGTTAACGTGTGTAAGTGGGAAGTGCTTCTCAGAATCCATGAGACAAGGTAGATTTCAGTGTATTGAAATGGAATGATGTCCAAGATAATAAATGAAAAAGCATATTGCAAAAGAGTCTGTATAGTGTGACCTCCCTCCCTTTTTACTGTGCATGTACATATGCCAGTGTATTTTAGAAATCGTTGCCTACAGGGATGGGCAGTAGTAGGTTTACGGTGTTAATACAAATGCGTAGTACAGGAATGGGCTCGGTTTCATGCACTCACCACTGTAAGCCTACTTTTGCCCACCCCCTGTGTGTTTAGGAGAGTCTGGAAGAATGTCCAACAAAGTGTTAACAGTAGTTACCTCTGGGGAGTTCAGCTTGCTTAGGAAGAGGTGTACATGGGAGAAGGATTAACACTTTCTGCTATTTTTAAAACAAAAAAATTTTAAATGAAATCCAACAGCTGATCTTTGGGTAATAAAGCCATGCTCTAGCCTTGGAGAATGCTATGCTGCAAATCGCATTTTGGCATTATGAACAGCTTACCAGTAGCTTCCAAGCTAGCGGTAAGCAATCTGTAATACAGTTTCTCATTTTATGTTGACTGGGACTTAATGAGGTGGAAACTCATCCCGGTGCCTGTAGGGCACACACCTCTTTTGGTCTGAAGACAGATTTTCTTAGTGTACTTGCCGGAGCTGCCAGAATCTGAAAGTCCCATCTTTACTTGAGCATTTACGTGACAATTTGGGGACTATGTGGGGTTTAAAGGCCTACCACCTTCCAGCGGTCAGTCAACTCACTCGTGTGCCTTCCCTGTCAGATGGTGCCTCCGGTTGTGGCTGCTGACTTACCAGCGGATCTGTCAGTGCCAGCTGTGCTGAGGGGGACCAGCCACGGAGGGAGAGCTCAGGGAGCCAAATAATTAGGTGGGAACTGAGTTCGAGTCCTGCTCTCCGATAGGTTTATTGGATAAGTTGAGCAGTTGACCTTCCTCTAGTGTATTTTAGATATTCTGCTCTTAAAGGGGAATGTTATTAAGTCCCACCCTGAAAGGACTAAGCTATGAAATAACTCGGTCTCCAGATTTTAACATTTTGGTTCAGAAAGGTAGACTCTAATCTGAGTTATTTTTCTCAGACTTCTATTCTCAGAATTGTTTACTACTGGATTGAAATTCCTTTCCCAGTATTCAGATCTAAACTAGGTTTTCTTTACCCTGTCATGATATTGTCCAAATAGAACTTTCTGTGATTAATGGAAATGTTGTTTCTGTCCTGATGTGTGTTCTGACACCAACCAGTTCTCTAGTTCTGCAGACACTGACCGGGTATCTGCCAGTACAGTTCAGTTCTGACCCTTTCTACCTGGAGTTAGCATCAGATCCCACTAGTAAGGGGGGCCATTCTCACAGACACCAGTTGCAAGTTCTAAGCTACTGGTAGTTCTAATTGACTGGCTGTGAATCAAGGGGTCCCACCACCCTCTCTGCAAGTTTGATAATTTGATACAGCAGCTCACAGAACTCAGGAAAACATTTTTCTTGTGTTTGCTGGTTTATTATAAAGGATACAACCAGAATAGTCAAGTGGAAGAGATGTGTAGGGCAGGTTATGGGAGGGGGGCACACTCAGCTTCCATGCCTTGCCCGCTGGCACACCACCCTCCAGCAATCTGACGTGTTCTCTAAGCTGAAGGGAGCTCTTCGAATGTCATTATTCAAGAATTTTTGTAGAGCTCAATCTCTAGCCTCTCTCCCTCTTTTCTGAAGGGCCGTGGGGCTGAAAGTTTCGACTCTGATTGCTTGGTCATTCCAGTGACTGGCCCCATCCAGAGACTGTCTAGGGGCCCCACCAAAGTTGTCTATTACCTTAAATTCTGCTATGATCAGAAGGAGCTCATTGTGAGAACAAAAGACTCCTATCACTGGGGAAATTTTGAGTTCTGTGCAGGGACTGGAGGCAAAGACCAAATGTATTTATGTTATACCACATCTGTACTGTCTAGTACAGTAGCTACTGACTTTTAAAATGTTGTTTATTTAAATTTAAATATAAACTTAAAACTGTTATGTGGCTTGTGACTACAGTAGTGGGCAATGCAGCCCCGTACATTTATTGAGTTCTTGTTTTTCTCTAATATCCTTTGCCCACCAGCACTAAACTGTGAAATCTTGACAGCAGAGATTGTTCAGTGTTACACTTTTAAAGGGTCTTGCTTATGGTAGAAGCTCATATTTTTAGCACCGAATTCAGTTTAGCAAATCATTATTGAGTTCCACTTTTCAGTCACTATAGGTGGAAACACAGATAAGAAAACAAAGCCCGCTGTTCTCAGACTCCTCACAATCTAGAGATGTAAACAAATTACAGTGTAGTGTGACAAAACACTACACTGTAGTGTAGTGTAGTGTTAAATGATGAGTAAGGTCCTCA